ATATGTTGGTGAATGCCAATGGTTCAAAACCGACAATTGCATATAAACCTGAATCGGTTGCAACCAACACCTACGAAACTTCGTGCTCTCCCATGGAGCAATTGGCCTCCTGCACATGGATTTCAACAATTCTTCACGATTAGACAACGGATAGATCGGGGCAGGTGGGCGACCTGTTGAGAGAGCCTCAGATGATAAGAATTGGTTGGAATAACGGGTTCTCGTGAGGTTGGAAGATTAGGGTGCTTTCATAACGCGGGTCCTACGTTCTGGATGAAGATTATCTCATCAGCCGTTCATATCATCTGCAAGAGGGGCTCACATTCTTCAATGGCCGGGGTGGTTCAAGGGATATTCAGGTGCTCTGGAGAGCATGGAAACTGTCAATATCGTGCATACTTTGGCCACCACTCCAACCTATGACATGCCCAAGCTACAACAACATCACGCAATTGAAGTCTTACGCACAATTTAAATGAGGAAATCAGAAAGTCAGAACATCTGGAAAGGACTGAGTGGCTAACATGACTTCTTCCTGCTCCAGGAGACCGATTTTGATCTTTCCCCCGATACCTTCAGCTTCAACTTGACCTCACTCCCTTAACTGTGGAACTGGTCATTGAACGCTCCGTTTGCAATATCTCGGCTGTGTACAAGAACCATTCATACACCGGAGGGCAAATTGTACGTCGTAACATTCTTGTTGCATTCTGACTTCCCCTGACGATCTCCCTATCCCTACATAGGGCTCGTGCCTGTACTCCCCTTCCACATTCCGGAGTACCCCAATAAGCCGGTTCCTAGGGTGAAGACGTTCAGTCGTCCTTCGCCTTTTGAACTGGTATCCTACAGTCCACAGGTGACAGATCATCTCATCTTGTCCCAGCCTAGATGCCAGACTCGCCGTCACGGTAAGGGTTGCACCGTGCCCTCTGCCCGAAGGCTTTAATCTGGGTTAGTACTCTTATCCCCGGGTTTCCCCCCTTATCACCTCCCAATCTTCTTTTGACTTTTTACCTTCCTTCATCGACCTTCCTTAACCTCGCATATTTGCTTCGTCTACCTCTCCATTCTCTACATTTCTTTTTTCTTCTGTTTGACTTTTGCAGCCTGTCATTCTCTCAAGGCTTTTAATTTTTAATATCTAATAATACCTTTACTAACAGTCTCTCCTTTAGCTCCGGCCACGAAAGGCTTCAACTGGTTGTCCGGCTCCCTTTCTCCTTTCCAGTATACAGGCTTATCGTCTTTGCACTGGTCTTTAATATTCCCAACTAATTCCGCTCATTAATTCGAAATAATCTGGCGACTGTCATTCTCTTAATTCCGTCGTTTCCTGATAGACTCGGCTCTGATCAGGTCCACTCTTTTTAATCATATCACCGTCGAGATAGACATAATTCGACATCATGGCCTATCATAAGCGTCCTACGTCCAGCTATCAGCCTTGCGAAACTTTCTTTGTGGAATCGTACGAGGACTTCCCTGCGCCTCGTATGGACCCAAAGGAGCACGCGAAATTGATTGCTCGCGAGCGCCAGTATGCCATTGCGGATGAGCTGTCCAAAATTGCCAGCGATGAGTTCCGTGATGATATTCTGTCTCACATGCTGGACATGGATGTTGGTTACCATATACTCTAATTAATCTAAGTCGCTCTTGGCTAATCTTATCATCGTCTCAGGCATCTACCCTCCCTGATGTTGAATCGATCGATATCCAAACGGAGATTCAGTGGTTTATGCGCCCTTACTTGCTCGACTTCTTAATCGAAGCCCACACGGCCTTCCAGCTGTTGCCCTCGACCCTTTTCTTGACAATCAACCTCCTCGATAGATACTGCTCAAAGCGTGTGGTCTACAAGAGGCATTATCAATTGGTTGGGTGTGCAGCCTTGCTTATTGCAGCGAAATATGGTGACAAGAAGGATCGTGTACCTACTATCAAGGAACTCAAATCGATGTGCTGCTCTCTGTATGATGACGATATGTTCACACAGATGGAGTGGCATGTTCTGCAGACTTTGGGTTGGACAATTGGACACCCAACTGTGGACAGCTTCCTTCAGATGGCTGTCATAGACACACCATACGATCCCGAGGTCGAACACATGGCATTGTACATCTCAGAGATTTCTTTGTTTCACAGAGAGTTTGTGTCCAAGCCATCCTCTGATCTTGCTAGAGCTTCATTAGCTCTTGCGCGGTGTATTCTTAATAGACCACAGCCTCGCCACACCGAGTGGGCTTCACAATACGATTCGATGACATTGGTCGGCTTGTCTCAGCAGCTTCATCAGCCTTCTCAGATTTTGTTCCGGAAATATTCGTCGGCTCATTTCTCCAGGGTCTCAAAGATTCTAGAGCAGTTTTTGGCTCGTCAATCTTCGGTCGCTAATTGCACCCCACCAAGCCCACCTTCAGACATCAACGCTGAGTCTAAACCGTACGAAGGCGAAATTGGTCTTGCTACTCCGCAGAAGGCTCCCCATCCGTCGAACATGCCCCACGGATATATCACGCCGCCAATTACACCCGAAAACGATGCCTTTGTTAATGGGGGAAGCACTACTTTCGTGAAAGGAGTCGCAGGGACGAGCGCCTGCTCTCCCTCCCCTACGCCACCACCGAGTATGCAATATGTGGACTCTCATGTATATCAAGAGGCCACGTTCACCCAGGGGCAACAATTCCTTCAACCACAAATGTCATTCACCACTAGCTACTGAAATCAACAAATCAGTAGGGTGCTTTCCGTCAATAGTGTATCAATACATTAGTGGATAACTACATCGTCGCATTGAGCTTCATATGCATAAGTGCTCGATCTGGTTTATGTCTATCATTGATATTCTCAATGCTCGACCGATTACCTATGCGATCGAAACTTTGTTCTCTTTTTGCATTATCATTTTTCTAAAGGGCATACCCATTTCCTTGTGTTTTCATCCCTTGGGAGTTCCAAGTTGCATCTCATTCTTATATCTAGCATTGCAAGCGCGAGCCGTTTGAGTCTTAAATTGCATTTGCCTGTTTACATTTTTTTATTAAATCATTTCTTATTTCATATGTGATCTTTCGTTTCTCAGCCTTGTTGGAGTTCAATCCCATTCATCGGCACCCAGGTAGCAGTTTGTGCTTGCTAACCTGAAGACTCTATATTTGACCCCCCTTTGACCGAACTTTCCCCATCCTACTCAAATACATACACTAATGTGGCATAACCTCTCACCTCCCATGGAATATATTTTTTTTTTTCTTTCGCAGGCTGAGAAATACGTCGTCTGCACCATTCGGAATCTTGGCTGATGGAGAGAGGTCCCCTCCAAAAAAAAAAAAGCAGAAAAAAGACCGAAACCAGAAAAAGACAAAAAAAAAGCAAAAGCAAAAGCGCCAGTGAAAAAAAAATCTTCCACACAAAAGCTGCGAGGTAAAAAGTGTTGACATAGCTTTTGTTACCCTAATGATTTGGACAGCGAGAAGGTATTTGGACAGGTGGATGAACTTGAGCGTTTCCGTGTCAGTTTGGACACATTTGCCTCTCTGCTTTCTCTAGATTTCCTCTTCTTTGTTTCTACTTGGAACCCTACCCTTTTTTTGTGACTCCCAGCAAACCACCCGGGAGTATCTTATTTATTTGGTGGATGAGCTGAGATGAGATGAGCATAGTATACTACTACGATGAAAAGATCGTAGTAGAAATCAATACATGATACCTTATGAAGGACATCTCCTGCGGAGGGTTATTCCTCTCTGCCTTAGTCACGGATCAATGAAGTAGGAGATAACCATCACGAGACCTTAAGCCATTTCCATCGCATTATAGAAGGGACCCATTTATTACATAGACTAAGATCTACTCCTGCTCATCCCACCCGGGTAAGTATTCCGGAGTTTGATTAAAGACCGTCCCCCCTTTATTGGGTCCCAAAGCATGTATGTACGTACTCCGTATGTCCCTTTGTTATCCTGCCGGGTTGCCGGGCCTTGTTAAACTCCTTCCACCTGGTCTGAAATATACCCACGATATGTCGTCCTGAAAGTCCCCAGGGCACAGCGCACCTTCTTCTCAGGGTTCCCCTAAAGAATGTTCCCGGCAGTTGACAGTTACTTTGATTACCCAATTATTCAAGGGTCAAAAATAGATTAATTTATTATGAACAATAATCAAGGGAAAGAAAAAAAAAAGAGAAATTCAAAGTTCACATAATAATAATATATTATATATCCGAAAATACTATACAAGCATAGATGTGTCAATAGATATCACTAATTGAACAGAGATATAATAAAGGATAGTAATAGTCCTTCGATCCAAAAATAAAAAGCCATCAAGTCATGTCGGGCGTAAGATGATAATCCAGTAAGCGAGTTGAATTGGAATTCAATCCAATGCCCAGCATCAAGAAAGAATCCAGGAGTGAGTGACAATGACATGACCTGATGTGTACCCAACGGAAAAGTGAAAAGAAGAAGAATAATAATAATAGCCAACCACCTGAGATTATTCCCTAATCTCCCCACGCTATGCGGTACGCCGGACCTGAATCAATAGTAGCCAAAAAGGAAAGCAAAAAGAAAGGGTAATATACACGCGTTATAACGAAGGTAAGAAGGAAGGGGGATCAGAACTGGCTCATGGTGTCGGGGGTCCAACCACCGGTAGGTACACCGCTTTGCTGAAGAAGTTTAATGGACTTCTCTCGTTGGATGATTGCATGGTTAGATGCAAGGGCGCTGGTACCTCGAAGCTTCAACCGGAGAACAAGGGAAGGGCGACAACCACAGAGTTCATGCCAATTCCGGGGGAATGTATCATGTGCTTTGAATGATAGGGTAGGACGGGTAAGGGGGGAAAGGAACACAAGGAAAGGGCAATAAAGAAGACAAAAAGCAAACAAACGGCAACCCAAGCTCGTAAAAGTACAATGGCATCAGTAATATGTATACAAGGGTATGGATGTGGAATCCGGGGATCCCAACAAGGGGACCTCAATGAACGAACGGTCAGCCACGGTGGGAACCAGCATCAGGGGGCATGGTTGCGGTGACTTGAGCGGTCCCAGAATGTAGAGAGAGAGCGTATCCGCCGATTGCCGGTCTCGAACGAGAGACGCGGAAGATGAGAGAAACGAGAAAGTTGTGCTGCCGATCACTCGCCTCACTTTGGGAAAGCCGCGCGGATAATCAGCTGACTAAGAGCCCGTCTCACACCCGCTGGCCAGCAGCAGGTGACCAGAACCCAAACGCTGGCACCGTTCGTTGTTTACTTCCACCGCTGCTTGTCCCAATCGGATGGTCTTGTTTCGTCATATATTTGTCCCCCCTGGTTGTGAACGACGACGGGAGGTTGCGTTCGGCGTGGACCTGTGTTGGACCCTATGACACCAGAACGGTTCCGTTAGTGACAGCCCTAGTGCAAACTGGAGATAATGGCCGGGGTGCAGAACGGGGAACATCATGTATAGTAAGAGTCAGAAGTAGCACTACTACATACCTCGCAGGTCTGTGACAACCACCCGGTCACCGCTACTGCCAGTGCTTGCCAGAGTAGAATTGGACTGGTTGACTTTATGAGGCATGATGGTGGTGGATGTGTTGTTGTTATTATTGTTTGGAAAGTCGAGAGGATGGTTTGCAGCGAAGAGAGTAGTATAGTAGATAAGAGGGATTGATATGATATGGAGTACTCAAGGCAGAGAGTAGAGGGCGATAGAGGAGGTATATAAGGTAAGGTCAGTGGCGGAGCAAGGCAAAGTCTAGAAGCCCAGGCAATCGTAGGCAAAAACAATGAGGTCAGGAGGATGAAGGAGGTGTGAGAGAGATGATGGATTGTTTGTCACAGAAGAGTCTTTGAAGCTTGATTGATTAATTGATTGTTTAATGGTTTGAAGTGGGTTATGGGGAGCGGACGAGGGTGGCCTTTTGTAGGTTTCCTACAAGTATGGGGAAGTATGGGAGAATCTATCCAAAGGGGATTAGAATCGATCATCTTAGGAATTTTAGCTTCGAAAACTAGACCCAAAATTAAAAATAAATAAATCAAAAATCAGAGTCAAAAATAAATAAAATTAAAAATTAAATAAAAAGGCACAGAACAGATCCAGAAAATGAAACTAAACTAGTCATTGGGGGTCGCGAGAGATCGGTCATCTTGCAGTGATTTGAGCGACTATACCAAGAACAGGCGATGATGTGGATAGCATATTGGATGATGGGACCACTTCCAACGAGGGACGTCATCTCTCTTCCCCAATAATGCAATAGAGAATTAAAAAATAAATTAAAAAAGGATAAATAATGCTCCCTAATAATAACCTTCGACGCGAAGAAGACCAAGGTTCTGGAATCTGGGATCAGAAAAGGATCCAAAAAGTTCATTCATTCATTCATTGACTTTCTGACTCCACCGCCTCTCTTTTTGCTTTTACTGCCAGGGGCAGAAAAATAAAATAAATCAAAATAAATCAAAATCAATTAAATTTAGCTCGAAAAAGACGAGGCGGCGAACCGGATGGCCATGACACCCGTCCCTGATTGGCCACTACCGACGCATCGTTGACGGGATGTTCGTAGGGATGATGGTCAATGATTATCTTCAATCAAATCAATCCATCAACCGGTGACAGCCCTCTGTTTGGCTCGACTTGCCAGTTCGCTGCCTTCTACTACAATCCCCTCTGCTTGAACATGACTCAGGCCCAAAAAAAAAAAAAAAAAAAGA